AGAAAGAAAGAAAGAAAGAAAGAAAGAAAGAAAGAAAGAAAGAAAGAGAAACTAGCAAATAAGCATGAACAAAGGTTTCCTTGGTGATGGTGGTTCTGGGCTTGTCGGTGACAAGAATCGTTGGACCAGAGTAAAACAAGAGGTTGATGGCCCTGGGTGATGAGAGCTAGACACTAATGGCCACAGACTAGGACGCGGTGACCCACCCTCTGAGCCACTCCTGACCTTCCAGCAAGCAGCAGCAGTCACTGGTACTGGACTTACGGTTCCTAACGACAGCGTCGCAGCTCTCGAGCTCTGCGGAGTGAGACCCTGAGCCTTAGGGTGCTCTCGGTATCAGGGTTCCACAGCACTCACCCTCCGGTCTTTACAGACCGTGTGTGTGCTCCCACATGATGTGTACACGGGTGCATGCTTGTGACTGTGCAAGCGCACACTCAGATGTGTGCCCAGACATTCAGGGTCTTCCTCTATGGCTCTCCACTGTACTCCCTCGAGACAAAGTCTCTTGCTAAACCAGAAATTCTCTATTATGGCCAGGCTGGCTGTCCAGTGAGCTGCCAGAACCCACTTGTCCCTGCCCCCGGAGTGCTGAGATTATCTGTAATCACGTGCACATCCAGCCTCTGGGGTGGGGTGGGTGGGTAGGTGCCAGGATTCGAACTCAGGTCCTCATGCCTGCACACATGCTCTCGCCCACCAAGTCATCTCGCCAGCTTTTACGGACTTCTGTCTTTTTCCAGCATGCTTCCTCATCTCCACCTCTGTGCACCTCTCTGCTGTGCCTTTCCTCACTGTTGCTGCTGTGTCCTCACCAGCTCAGCCCACTCCAGTTAAAACTTGGCAAGCAGAAAAGAAAGAAAAAAAAATTAAAAGTAGACAAGAAAAGGCCATTCAGGAAAACCTTTCTTGGGTTTAATGTTACAGTACCAGAGGGAGGTGGCAGTCTTCCTGGAAAGTGGGCTGACCCAGCATGGTGGGCATGCAGTTGGCATCCCAGAGGCAAGAGAACTAACGATCCATGAGGTCCAGACCAGCAAGGCCTACATATCCAGACTCTGTCTCAAAGGGTGGGGTGTTGCTGGGGAACTCGGAAGGTAGCTCAGGAAAGTGTTTGCACCAGGATCCCATATTTTAAAAGCTGGATGTGGGGACGGTTAAGAATGCTGGCTGCAAGCTGGGTGAGGTGGCACACACCTATAATCCCAGCACTCAGGGGGGCAGAGGCAGGTGGATCTCTGTGAGTTTGAGGCCAGCCTGGTCTACAAAGTGAGTCCAGGACAGACAAGGCTACATAGAGAAACTCTGTCTCAAAACAAAACAAAACAAAACAAAACAAAAACTCAACAACAACAACAAAAACCTAGCTCTTGCAGGGGACCCATTTGGATTCCCAGCACCCACACCATGGCTTATAACCATCTGTGACTCCAGTTCTGGGTACCCAGAAAGGGTCTGATGAGCACTGATTGAAAATCAACTCCCCTCCAACACATCAGCTTATGTAAAGGAAGAGCTCCTCACTCACCTTATTGGTGCTTTGATGGTCTCTAACAGTGCTGCGCCCTTCCTAATCTCCGTCCCAGCCTCTAGGGAGAGTTGGCTCACAGGTCTACAGTGAATATTTGTTATCGCTGCTGTGCTACGGGCCGCAAAGCTTGGGAAACCTAGAGAGAAACCTAGAGAGGGCATGGACAGACAGACACAGACATGCACACACACAGGAATGGGGGGACGGACAGAGGGAGAGAGGGAAGACAGAGAGAGCAAGAGACAGAGACAAAGATCCAGACAGTTGGGACCAAAGGCCTCACTGAATGACCCTTTAAGGGACAGGCAGAAACAGCCTCAGCGCTTCTCAGCCCAGCACCTCACAGCTCACCATGCCTTCCATTCACAATCTTGCTGCAGGCCATGGACACTGTTAGGTCTCAAAGCCTAGATAAATAGCTACCTGAGGTGCCTGTGTAACATATCAAATTGGACCTGGCCCAATGTTCTCCCAGCATCCCTCAGTCCCTACCTGTTGCAGTAGTGGTTCTGAACCTTCCTAATTCAGTTCCTCATATTGTGGCGACCCCAAACCGTAAAATGATTTCTGTTGCTCCTTCATCACTGTAATTTTGCTACCGTTATGTATTGTAACGTAAGTATCTGATATGCAGGATATCTGATATGTGACCCCTGGGAAAGGGTCATTTGAACACCTCCACAAAGAGGTGGTGAGCCCAGAGGCTGAAAACTGATGTGTTACAGAGCCCTCCTGGCTGGCATGCCCCGCCGCCCCTCACCCTAACTTCCCCAGTGCAGGGGCTGGGCTGCTCTTCCGTACATAACCCAGCCACTTTGGCTACATGGCCTTTTGTCTTACTTTTCCCTCCTGGCCTCTTGGCCATCTCTTGGCCCAGGTCACCCCCCTGGTCTGGCTCTTCCCTCCCCCTTTCCTCTCCACACAGGGCTCAGGGTCATGTCTGCTCTGGACTCTCGCAGATGCCCCTGCCTCCGGCTATGCTCTCCCTCGGATCTCGGAGCATTCACATGCCTCCTTTTCCATGTCTTTTTTCATTCCGGTGCTGCCGTGCCCCCTCCAACACCCATGCTTTCCAGGTGCTCACTACACCAGACCATAGCTTTATAGACTTCGCTATTTAATCTTCTTAGAAACCTTTGACCACACAGCCCAGCCCAGGAAAGGCATGTGTCACCATGACCCCGGGGCTAGGGTGACTGCCCACGGTAGAAGTGAGGACAGGTCAAGGCCTCACCTCCACCTTGGGTCACTCCCAGCACCAGGCACTCCAGTCAGTACATTATCTTATTTTCAAAGCCCTCGTACTGTGAAGTAGAACACGCCCTCGGAAGGGAGTGCCTTACCCACAGCTGCAGAGAGCTGGCATGGCTGCGCACGAGCCACACATTGCTTCAGACGCACGAAAGAGAGGTCGTCCGCCCTCCGGAGAAGGGAGAGTGGGTAGGCAGGGCGCCCCACACCTGCCATCCCAGTATGTGGGAGGCTGAGACAGGAGGATTGCCACAAGTCCGAGGCCAGCCTGGGATATGCAATGCCAGGTTGATTTGAGCTAGGGTATGAGACTGTGTCAAACCAATAACAATCAAATAGGAGGGAGGGACTCACGAGGCCTGCCTCCAGCAGGGGGCTTCCAGACAGTCAGCAGTTCCTGGCAGAGGGAGAGACATTTTCCTCAGTGGTGTAAGCCACTGGCAAGGTGCCTGAGAGCCGTTAGTCAGCCAGTCAGCCATGCTCCTAAAGAATTAAACTCTTCGGATGCCCAAGAAAGAAGAGTGACATGAAATTAGAAGGGGCCTAGCCAGGAAGAGGACCAGCGGGCGTGCGAGGACAAGGGAGGGAAGTGAGGTGAATCGATCACAGTGCATTGCACACTCGTGCAGCATGTGTGACTAATACCCGCTCAGAAAAACTCTGTCAAATAAAAAATGCGAATGGGCAGACTATGGTGACACACCCCTCTAACCCCAGCATTTGGGTGGTGCCAGAGGCAGGCAGATCTCTGTAAACTCAAGGCCAGCCAGGGCTCCATAGTGAGACACTGTCACAAAAAAGAAAGAAGAAAGAAAGAAAGAAAGAAAGAAAGAAAGAAAGAAAGAAAGAAAG